GGGCAGCCACAAAGCCTTCAGACATGCATTGTCTATGCCCTCCTAACCTTTACAGTCTTCTGGAGGATTCGGGCAAATAATCCAGAGGGGACAGCCCATAGTGACCAGGGTAGGTACAGGTGCGAGAGGGACCACAGAAGGATCCCCATCCAGCGTCAGGGAAGGCAACCTAGGGCAAATGATACGAGGCTGATCCTTGACGGATGAGTGTGAGCTTATCAGCAAAGGTGAAGGCTGAGGGAAGGAGAACCCTTCTGATTACAGGTGTGACAGGTGCAAGAGCTCAGATTCACTAAGGAGGTCAAGTTCAGGGAAGGAGAGACATTCTGGGTGGCTGGAGAAAGGATGGGGCTGATGTAGGCAAAAGTGCGAGAAACACCGCTCTAAATAATATGCTTGGGTCACCTGCTTTTTGCATTTTAGTTTTAGGCATTATATACTGACTTCTCACGATAAGAACAAAAGGCAGATTTCCCATCCCCCCTCTTATTCTAATATTGTGCATTATAATTTTGGATAGGTCACAGTCAGTATTTATATTTGCCTATAACTATGTGAATGCTGTTCGCGGCTGAGCGAGCGTATTCTACTGCCATTTGCCCTTTTCTGCACATGTCTTAGTTTCACATGACGGTACAACTGTTGCTTTCTTCCAGTTGCTCAGTTTTCTCCCTACCCAACAGTTAGTTATTTACCCTCAAACTCACCCCCAGCAGTGTTAATAGCCTCTCAATCCGTTCAGTCACTTTAAGTATTCCACCCATTTCATCTTTTTTTCCCCCACATCTTTATTGGATTATAATTGCTTTACAGTGGTGTGTTAGTTTCTGCTTTATAACAAAGTGAATCAGCTATACGTATACATATATCGCCATATCTCCTCCCTCTTGTGTATCCCTCCCAGAATGCTGGCTTGGCTGCCAGCATTTTGGGAACTGAGTGGAGAAAAAATGGTGTGTGTGTGTGTGTGTGTGTGTGTGTGTGTGTGTGTGTGTGTGTGTGTGTGTGTGTGTGTGTGTGTGTGTGATTAATCTATTACTGCATAACAAACTACTCCAGAACCTTGGGTTACAAAAATTTTATCATCTCAAAGTTTCTGTGGGTTAGAAATTCCAGGACAGCTTAACTGAATGGCTCTGGCCCAGGTCTCTCATGCGGTCACAGTGAGATATGGGCTGGGTCTACAGTCATCTACCTGGGTCTGGAGGTTCTGCTTCCAAAGTGGCTCACTTACATTCCTGGCAAGTTGCTGGTTGTCTGCAGGAGGCCTCATTTCCTCCCCACGTGTCCTCTTGACATGGCAGCAGCCTTGCCTAGAGTGAGTGAGTTAAGAGAGAGCAAGGCAGAAGCTGTAATGTCTTTTATGACCTCGTCTCAGCAGTCATACTCCGTCATTGTCCACAATACCCCGTTGGTTACACAGATCAGCCCTTTTCAATGTGGGAGGTGACTGCCCCAGGACATGCATACCAGGAGGGCAGATCCACTAGGAGCCATCTTAGAGGTTGGCTACCACTAGGGATGGGTGGGGTGTCTCAACACTTTCCAGGTACATCTTTACTCTTCAGACATTTTTAGCAAGGTATCACCATCTTCAGCTAGACCTGATATTTCTAGTTCTAAGACCCTGAGTTTTGTCCTCTTCAAAGAGTAAATCTCCAGTCTCCTACATAAAGGAGAAGCAACAGCCTCCGGCTCTACTGAGTTGGGGAGAGGACCTAGGAGTTTGCTTCTTAAAAAGACTTTCATCTGGTCTTCCCATTATCAGCTCCACCTTTACCTATGCCTCAGGAAGTATTTGACCTGCTAATTCCTATGTCTTTCTGGAGGAAGGTGGCTCTGCAGTGTAAATTGGGCTGGTCCTTGTCTTTCCCCACTGCCAGTTGAAAATTCAGCTGTGTTTCTGCTAAGTCAGCTCCATTCATCCATCTGCTTTTCTGCTTTCAAAATTTTGGTTGCTACTGGCTTCTCTCCTATTCTTTGTTCTTGTGGATTTCCATCTTTTTAACCGTCTCTTTAGCGCGTTTTACTGGGATTTGGGGAGGGAGTAGAAGCTGCTGAATGCATCTGTATGTGATCTTTAACTGGAAATCCCTTCCTCTTCTCTTTTCATCCCTGCTGCTTCTGGGCTACATCTTACCCCCAGTCAAGACAGAGGAGGACTTTAAGGAGATCACTGAGAGGCTTAAAATATGGCACCTGAAGTTTGGGTAGCATGATGGTCTGAGTCATGCCTGAGAAATTCAAAGGGTGAGGAGCTGGCCAAACAGCCAGTGGCATCAGAGTAGAGAGCCCTGGGTTTGGTAATGAGGAAATAGGGCTTCCCAGTAGACCACCTGTTGTTAAAGGATTGGTCAGTCCTTCCCTCCTTGGCCCTCTACTTCTCGATAAAAGTGAGACATGAAGTTGTTCCAGAGGTTTGATTGTGGTGGGTGTCACGTGGTGGCCGACAGCAAGGCTCTAGAGGTCGGCTGTCCTGGGGCCCCCCGGGTAGTGCTCTATCAGTCAGGGTTCTCCAGAGAAACAGAGTCAAGGAGCACCGTGTCCCCACCAACCTAGTGGTAGCCGACCTCCAAGCCGCCGGCAACTGCAGGTAGCCAGCGGAAGCTGGGACAGTGGCATGGGATGGGTTCTCCCTCAGAGACCCCGGAGGGACCCAGCACCGCCAACAGCGTGATCCGCAGCTACGAGCGAATACATTTTGGTTGGTTGTGGTAATTTGTGAGGGCAGTCCTAGGAAACTCATACAGTCATATTCTGGTAAATGATGGAGGTAACACTGGCTCCTGGCCATCCCTGTCGGACCATAAGCTAAGTCCGTTTCACCAGTTCATGCTACTTGCATGACTATTAGCAGTAATCAGTTATACATGACCCTCTGTTCTTCTGGTTCTGAATTAGATGTTAAAACTATGTCACAAGTCCCAAAGATGAGCTAGGCACGTCACGCTGGGATGCACTGGTCTGTTCACCACTGAGACCTAAGAGGACAGAGCTGGAACAGTGGACATGTATATCAGTTGGCTGGAAGAAGGGTGGACTCTCAGAGGGACCCACCTGTCCTCCTCCAGTCCTTCAAATGACAGCTGTCTCTCCCAGTGGTTTTTGTGGGATGCTGTTGGGGGCGGGAAATGCACATTCCCAATTCCTGCCTCCACCTGGTTTACATTTCTTTGGGCTTAAGATCAACAATCTGTTTGCTTTTGTTTGGGGCAGAACCACTGGAATTGCTGAATCTGCAGCTGTTGCTGCACTGGGGCTCCCACCATCCTGCACACCATCCACTGGACAGGTCTCCTCGAGTGAGGGCCCCTAGCTGTCTCCCCTTGAAATCTGATTCTCTACACCAGCATCTTATTCCCTCTGCTTCTGACGTCTTTGCCCAGGGGCCTGCTGGGAGCTGAGGATGCAAAACTCGGTTTGTGGCAAAGGAGAAAGTGGCTCCCAGCGCCCTGGCCCTGACTCCTGAGGATCAAAGGCCTTGCAAGGAACACCAGCTTTCTCAGAGTGACACGGAGCCATGGAGACTGCTCTTTGAGTTGACCCACTCTCCTGTACCCAGACATCTGCTCAGCACACCTAGGGGGACCCTGTCCCCTCCTCTCCCTGTTTCTCGACCACCACCCCAAACCACAGTGAAATGCCCAAGCGCTTTAGGCTCATCCAGCCCTGATGCCATCATTGGCTGAGCTACTCTAAAGCCACATCCCATGACCCTGCTGTGTTAGAAAAGGAGTGGGACCAATGGGCAGACAATGCGAGCTCTAGTCCTGGGCCTTCCGTTTGCTACTTGCCTGGCCATGTGCAGTCCCTCTACTTTTCCAGGTCTCTGTTTCCTCACCTGTACAATGGGTTTATGTTCCTTCCCTGTCAACCCACAGAGTTGTGGTGAAGCTTACATGAGTTGGCAGATGTGAATGTGCTTATCAAATAGTAAGGGATGCACAAAGGCAAGGTAAGTTGCTACGTGAATGACAGTGAGGGCCAGGCCCAAGAAAAGGGGAAGCAGGCGATGTTGGCCTCGACATTTCTTTCTGCCCACCTTCTGGTCCCTTCCATACCAATGCCCATATGGACGGTCTAATCCCAGAGGAGAAGTTAGGCATGTAGATTGCTGACCACGTTAGTGTACATTCATTTAATGTACTACCTCCCTGGGGCATTTTAATTTTAAGTGAACGGAATGAGGAAAACACGAAGGAACTGATAATGCAGAAATACGGATATCTGAGACCTGCGTGAATGGGAGTATCGGGGCAGGGAGGTCTCCCTGACACCTCCCAGATGGCTCTGCCTGGTCCACAGGACTCCATCAGGGAAGGGCAGTGCTCTTGTGGGCGGAGCTCTAGAGCCTCAGCCTAATGGCACGCCCCTTCCTCACGCTACGGAGAATGGACAGTTGAGAAGTTTGGTGGAAACCTGGATCCGTGAGTGAGTGAGTTGGGGGGATGCTGCCTCTGTGTTCTAAATGGCCTGCCAGGTGAGGACAAACCACAGATGAATTGTTAACAGCGCTGCAGCCTTTTCTGGGAAGCTGTCAGCCCGCTCCCAGCCTCCAAGACTGCCCAGAGTGGAGGACAAATGACTGCCCCACAGCTCCACAGAGGCAGAGATATTTCCGCCCCCTCTGTCCCTACCTGTCTCTTGCTGGCATTGCCCTCACCCCCATCCCCATTCTGACTCTTTTCAGGAGAGTCCAGGGTCTCCCCTTAACCCACCCACACATGCCGCGCTCACGGGGAGCTGCTCACGGAACCAAGCTCTGTGCACAGCAGTGCAGCCTGGAGGACAGGAGTACGACCTCTGAGAATCACAAAACCTGAAAAAATGCAGCTGGGCTCCTTACAGAAGTTGGTTTTCCAGACCTCTCCTCAGAACTTTATTAGATCTTTTGAAGACAGGAGACAAATAAGAGCATATTTTCTTCAGCACATGGGGTCACCCCGGACTCGAGTCCCAATCCAGCAGTGTGGACCCCCCCAGCCCTTTGTCTCCTGTGCTCACGCCCTGCCCCGGCAGGAGGCTGCTGACCGGGGCCCCCCACTGACGTTGCGGTGCCCCGCTGCCAGCCTCTGCTGCTCCACAACCTGAGCACCCCCTTCCACCCAGAGGGCCTTGTCCTCCTCCAGAAGGGCGCTTTCCTCCTCCCACAGGGCCTTTTCTTCCCCCCACCGGGCCTTGTCCTCCTGAAGGAGGTTCCTGTCTCTTTCCCCCAAGGCATTGTCCTCCTTCCAGAAGATTCGGTACTTTTTCCAAAAGGCTTTCTCTTCTTCCCAGAAAGATTTTTCCGTTTCCCAGAAGGCTTTTTCCTCTTTTCAGAAGGTTTTCTCCTCTTCCCAGAAAGGTCTCTCCTCTTCCCAAATGCCCAAGATCTGGCCCCTGAAAGTGCAGGTCTTGCCACGGAAATTCCGCATCTCTTCCCTGAAGCCTTCTGTCTTCTCACGGAAGTGTCTCATCTCTTCCCGAAACACCTTTTCTTCCTGCAGCTTGTGGATTAGTTTCTTCGGGCGAAGGCTGGATGAGGAGACCACCAGTGAGTGGAAGCAGGCAAGCTTCATCCACTTGCTCACCTTGAAGGGAAACATTGTCTTGGTCAGCCAGGATGGTGGGGTGACTGCGATGGAGGACAGGGCTGATGGCCAAGTCCAGGTCAGCTGGTCCAACCCTATGGGAGCACCAGAGAGAACATGTCCCTTGAGTATCACATCCCAGAGGGCAAGCCCTGGAGTCTGTGCCATTACTGGGAATTATTTTTTAATCTTACAGTTTTTTAATTTACATATACATGTGTCTATTCTTTTTCAAATTCTTTTCCCATTTAGGTTACTACAGAGTATTGAGTTTAGTTCCTTGTGCTATACAGTAGGTCCTTGTTGGTTACGTATTTTACATATAGCAGTGCGTACATGTCAATCCCAAACTCCCAGTCTAACCCTTCCCCTCACCATTCCCCCCTGGTAACCATAAGTTCATTCTCTAAGTGTGTGAGTTGGTTTCTGTTTTGTAAATAAGTTCCTTTGTATCATTTTTTAAAGATTCCACATATGAGCAATATCATATGATATTTGTCTTTCTCTATCTGACTTCACTTAGTATGACAATCTCTAGGTCCATCCATGTTGCTGCAAATGGCATTATTTCATTCTTTTTTATGGCTGAGTAATATTCCATCACATATATGTACCACATCTTCTTTATCCATTCCTCTGTCGATGGACATTTAGGTTACTTCCATGTCTTGGCTATTGTAAACAGCGCTGCAGTGAGCACTGGGATGCGTGTGTCCTTTTGCACCATGTTTTCCTCCGGGTATATGCCCAGGAGTGGGATTGCTGGGTCATACAGTAGCTCTTTTTTTAGTTTTTTAAGGAACCTCCATACTGGTCTCCATAGTGGCTGTATCAATTTACATTTCCTCCAACAGTGTAAGAGGGTTCATTATTGGGACATTTTAGCCATTGTTCTCTTTGTCCCCTTGGTGGTATTTGTGAGGGACAAGCTGTGGTAGAGAAAGACGCTGGCTGGTCATGGTTTTGCACGGAAGAGGTAGTCAGTACGTTCAAGCTCAAGGCTACTGAAATAATAGAATATCAGCCAACAGGGACAATGGTTCTCAACCAGAGTGTCAGGACACACAAGTGTGACATGATCACTTTAGAGGTGTGTCACAGTTTTGTTTTGCTTTTAAATAATCAAGTGCCACAGCCCCAAGTGATTTACTTGTGTTACATCAACCAGAATACATCTGAGGTTTTGGCTTTTCTTACTTGGGAATTGTTCATGACCTTCTGATTGGGCGTGCTAGCAGCAGGGGGCCACACGTGTGCATATCCTCTGTTATAAGCCATGTGGGAAACAGAAGGTGAGACCCACAGACCTGGAGGAGTCGATTTTAGTAGAAGAATCTATTTTGGGAACAGAAGTTTAAAACCCAAAGGTGAAAGATGACACTGAATGTTGGCTAGGATGTGGGAAAGAGGAATTCTCACATGGTAGCCAGTAATATAGAACAATGATGAGGACACATTATGACTCAGCTGCTCCACTCCCAGATACGTGCCCTGAGGGAACTTCTAAATTGTGTCCAGTTTACGTGTACAGGAAGCAGCTGTGTTCACAAGAGCTCAACACTGCAAGCAATCCAATGACTGTCACAGTAGAATGGAGTTCAAGTGTGGTGGTCTGTTCATGCAATGGAGAGCATAGCTACGTGCAACAGTGTGGATGAACCTTATAATATTGAAAGAAAGAATCAGGATCAAAGACTTTGAAAGAAAACGTTCCAAAACAAGCAAAATTAAACTCTATTGTTTAAGGAAATATACTTAAGTGACAACACAAAAAGACAAGCAAGGAAGTAGGTCCCATTAAGTCAAGATAATAATTACTTAGGAAGTGGAGATTAACATATATACACTACTGTATATAAAACAGATAACTAACAAGGACCTATTGATACTATATAGCACAGGGAACTCTACTCAATACTCTGTAATAACCTATATGGGAAAAGAATCTGAAAAAGAATAGATATATGTGTATGCATAACCGAATCACTTTGCTGTACACCTGAAACTACCACAACATTGTAAGTCAAATATACTCCAATATAAAATAAATTTTTTTTAAAAAAAGTAATTACTTGTGTGTGAGGGAAGGAGTGGGGAGGTAGGATACTAAGGGTTGTGATTGGGTGAGGACATGAGAGGAGCTTCTGAGGGGCCAGTAGTATCCCTTTACTTGGTGGCAGTTGCCTGTATGTTATAATAAAAAAGTGCTAAGCTGTATACAAATGTTTTATTTACTCCAGTAAATGCATTGTATATCACAGTAAAATAAAAGCTAGGGAGAAAGAGAGAAAGAAGGAAGGAAACCAAGAAAGAAAGAAAGGAGGGAAGAAGGGGGGGAGGGAGGGAGGAAGAAAGAAGGAAAGAAAGGAAGCAAGGAAATAAAGGAAAGGAAAGGAAAGGAAAGGCAGAAAGAAAGAAGGAAGGAAAGCGAAGGAAAGAAAGAGAGGGAGGGAGGGAGGATCTCCACACATTGCTGCTATCTGAGGTATCAGATCTCAGAACTCTCCCCAAAATTCTGGTAACCAAGATGGGTTGAGAGATGAGAAAAAGGTCTGGACATGGGACAGCAGTCGGAGTGCAGGGGAGACAATGGGTGTGTACACATGGCAAGGGCATTGATTTCCATGTTGAGCTTTCTTGGAAGCAGCTGCCAGGGTCTGGCCTCACTCAGTGGGCCTCGCTGAGCACCACACCCTAGAGCACCGTGAGTCCCTTCAGGCGATTTCTGGGTTTCCTCCTTGTTCTACTTTCTGCCTTGGGAGCAGGCAGTAGGGGTGAAGGAAGGACACATAGCTGGCACGTGCGTGACTGTGTGTGTGTGTGTTTGTGTGTGTCATTCTGTTCTCCTATTTCCTTTTTGGTCCTAGTCTCTTTGTGGACTACTTTTCCCATCGGAGTATACTTTATCCATTTAAAGCAGAACCTACCTCATAGGGCTCTTGTGGGGAATAAATTGGTATGTTGAGTGCCTAGCACAGTGCTTGGCACACAGCAAGTGCTCAATAAACAGGAAATAAGAATAACTGTAATTACTATTTTGTGTCATTTTCAGTCTTCTTAGAGTGGCGTGCTGGGACAATCATGACTTGCCCCTACAAATTTTAGCCTTACCTTTCAGCCATCTCCCCTGACACCTAGGCTCTGGCCACCTGGAATTCCTCAAATGTACCGAGTTTTCCCCACTTCCATGCCATGCTGTTCTCTCTCCTTGGATGTCTGGCCTAAGCCCACCTCACTTTGTCCAGCTAACTAACACTTCAAGACTCAGATAAGGAGTCTGCTCTCCTAGGCAGCTTCTCCTGAAACTCTCCCACCAAGTTCAGACTGAGCATACACCCCTCCTGTCCCGCTAGGAACACTTCGTCTCCCATCTCTATGTCCAGCATCTAGCACAATGTCTGGTACATAATAGATGTTCAGTAAATGTCCATTGACTGAATGGCAGTCTTCTGGGTTAGAATGCTGGAAAAAAATTTATCTCCAAAGTTTTTATCATTCCACTTAAATTATCTTTGAGAAAGAGATAAAATAAGTACAATATCAAATACACTGATGCCTATTTAGATATAAAGTACAATATAAAGCTGTAAATATGTGTCTATATAGATATAAAAACATGAGTCAAAGACGCATGCCTAACCTTCAATCTTATAATTCAAGGCTAGGAACTTATTTTTAAAGGAAATGTTATATATCAAGCTATGTTTACAGCCAATCCTCTCCGATCTAAAGTCAACAGTTACTTACTGCTTAGCTATTTCCCAACTGGGCAAGTCCTGTAGCCTTCAGAGGACAGGCAGTCATTGTCACATCAGATCCTTCGTGATGTCGCTTTCATAGGCTCCCTTAACACTGTTTGCAAAGACCCCTCTCTGTCCTGAGTCACAGGGTGGAGAAGGCCAAGATAGGGAACCAAATGAGAGACTCTAAAAAGTTGAGGGAGAGCATGAAAGGTTGGAAAGACTTCACCTTCCATCTTTGACTTCACCAATAGGCCGGTGCTGTTGATGACTCGCAGATGATCGTTACTTCACGTTCTACCTGGATTGTGTCCAGGAGCAGGCTTCCGGGGAATCATGTTTCAGTGTGGCGGGGAGGGGTTGTATGTGATGAATCATTTCTCTTGCTGCTTTCAAGATTCCCTCTTTGTCTCTGTCTTTTGACAGTTGGACTATGGTGTGTCTAAATGTGGACCTCTTTGAGTTTATACTACTTAGAGTTTGTTGAGCTTCTTAGATGTACAGATTTGATGCAGATTTTCCTCACATTTGAGAAGTTTATTTATTCATATATTCTTTCTTCCTCTTCCTTTCTCTCCTCTCCTCCTAGGATTCCTTTTATATTTATGTTAGTAGCTTGATGGTATCCCACAGGTCTCTGAGGCTCTGTTCAGTTTTCTTCATTCTTTTGCCTTTCTATTGCTTAGACTGGATCATCTTAATTGACCTGTCTTCAAGTTCACTGATTTTTTCTTCTGCCAGCTCAAATCTCCTGTGAGCCCCTCTATTTTTTATTTTCAAGGCCAGAATTTCTGTTTGGTTCTTTTTAAAAAATAATTTCTATCTCTTTATTGATATTCTCTATTTGGTCATGCATCATTCTCATTCTTTCCTTTAATTCTTTAAGCAAGGTTTCTTTTAGTCCTTTGATCATATTTATAACAGCTGTTTAATATCTTGGTCTAGTAAGTCAACATTTGCAGTTCCTCAGAGACAGTTTTTAACCAAAAAGAAAATCACTCAGAATCATTGCCTGCCTTCTCCCCCAATTGTGAGCCATTCTTTTCTGCTTCTTTGCATGTCATATAACTTTATGTTAAAAGTGAACATTTAAAATAATATCATCTTAAATAATACATTACAAACAATATCATGTGATAATTCTCGAAATGAGATTTCCCCCTCCTCAGGCTTGTTGTTGTTTTGTTATTATCACTATTTGTTTGTTTAGTGACTTTCCCGGACTAATTCTGTACAGTCTGTATTTTTTGTTGTGTGTGGCCACTGAAGTCTGCT